TTAAATGAGTTTTGTTCCAATTATTGTTGCTAAATGTGTGAATGTACATTATAGCTAATAAAGTAGATGTTTAACTATTATTAATAATACTAATTCCCATCATTAAATAATTCTAACTCTTATCATAGGTAATATTTTTAACACTTGATGTCACCACCAATTACTTCAACCATCAATCCCACCATGATTATTTCCTATCATCGCTATTGCAGTAAAAAAGAATGAGTTTTCATGCGATGAAAATGACATAATTTTATCGAATTTTAAAGTACAAATAAGAGGTATTCTTTTTAATTGATGTTACTAACTTAGGATCCACATAAAACTATAATATATGCAAAAAAATGAAAATAAGATGAAAGAGTAAAGGAAATAAAACTTTAAAGGGAAAATTACATACATAGCAATCAATTCTTATGGATTTACCTATATCACGTCAAAACTTTTATTTTTACACACAAATCACTTTACCTATGGATGAAAAGATGGATTTGACTATTAAAATGTGAGAATGAGTGCTACTTTTCATATGATGTTTGTAATTATGAAAGTTTATGTGTGAGATAAATAAATATGAAAATTTTGAGCGCTATGCATGTAAAAGCTCCAACTTTAATTAACAAAGTGGTAGTAAGAGCTTTTATAAATTTAACTTTAGTTTTAAAATTGCATAAATTGTCATTAAAGAGTAGAGAAATAATAAGGGGCCGGTGCTTGAAGCAACTATTTATTTTAGTTTTTAGTCCAAAAATTATCTATCAAGTTTTTTTGTGGCAAAAAAATAAAATTTTAATGATCTTATGCTATCACTTAATGCAAAGGTAACCATGCTCCCTAAGCCTAAATTAATTTTTTGAAGCTACAGAAAATCATGATTGGAGTTGAGTGCCTTGATTAAAGGAATTGCTTCTTGATTTTATAGGGATTTCCGATTGAATATTGACTTAAATGTGCTGTTGGCAATTCCTTATTCTCTTCATTTCTTGTGAGGAGAAGTTGTTGAGATGAAATTTTACCAAATTGAGATAAACTCCCATGATATTTGGGAAGGACTTCATTAGGACTTGTTGGACTTGGTATATGTAATGATGTTGTTGTGGTATAGTTGTCAAGGTTTATGTTAATAAATTAAGGAGAAGAAAAATAATAATTGATATAAATCCAGATGAACACACAGAGATTTACGAGGTTCAGAAAAGATGTCTACATCATTGGGAGCAGAGCGGCGACTCACTTTTCAATATTCAGAAAAGAGTACAGAAAATACAGAATCCAACTCACCTTGCGTTACAAACATGACATATACATAACTCTATAGTACAATATGTAATTGCTTAAATCACCCCGATACCAAATCACGCGGTGTTGCCCCCGCACCCCCAACTCACATAATGAAACTCCCCTGATTGGACAGATTCTTACGCTCCACTCCGCTCGTGAGCTCCGCTCTGCTCCAACGTTTGTCCCATTTATACTATATGAGCCATATCTAACAAATCTACACCTTGGTGAATATCCAGCCCCTTAAGGAGAAATACATATATCCAACAAATCTCCACCTTGGCGAATATCTAGCTCCTTAGGAGAAATATATCATGGAGTTTATTATGCACCAATGTGGGTTGGGCCACCACGCTTCCGCTGTGCCCTCGCTGATCCTCCCAACCCACTAAATTCCAAGAGACACAACTCTTTAATTCCAAGAGACATCTCTTCATTTCAAGAGACTTCAAATTCTGGTATTATGAGCTATACCTAACAGTTTATGCCCACATTATTAGTTAGTAGTCTTCTCTCTTATATGTAGAACGATGGACTAACGTCATGAGTAACTTGAAGATAATCGGCTTGTCATTGTTCCACATGCACTCATTTCATCACAATTCAGTTTGACAATATTTTATTAATGTCTTTTTTATGTACAAAAAATACATTGTTCAAAATATAGGACCTACAGTAATGTAATAAGTTAAGCTTAATTGACATTTTACGTTTTCTTTTTTCTTTCTCTGATATTTCTTGTAAAAATTTTATTATCGACAATTAGTTGCTTAGAACTTATCTATTTGTGCTTGTACATGATTTTTGTACAACATAAATACAATAAGCATCATATATGCAGCCGAGAATGCTTAGACATACAAAATTAACAATCTATTTTTTTCTTGATACAAAATTCAAAACTAATATTAAAATTAATCAAAATGGCATTTCTCTTCTCATCTCTTGTCACTCAATAGTGGAGGGGTGGTGGTTGTCCCTTAGAAGAATTGAGGAGGGCGCATCCAACCTTGTAGAGGGACGAAATGGTCGGTTGTAATGGAGCCCAACTCTGAGAGACAAGTCCGCGAGTAAACAACAATGATGATAACACATCATAAAAAATGGCGAGAGGGAGGGCATGGTCCCGAAAGGCTGTAAACAGTACCTGAGTGCGGACCAGCTCAGATTTTTGTTCATTACATTGGAAAAAGCATTTTGTTGTATATTTTGTGGGAAGTTCTTAGAGAGTTCAATTTTGCCATAGCTTAGAGGGACTAATGGCTTGCACTCTTTATGCTTGAGAAGCGTTATTTGGGAGACACCTCTAAGGGATATGGCAAAAGAAGGAGAGGGAGAGAGGAGAACAAAGAGCAATAACAGAAAATTAAACAGTAAAATTAAGTAACATTTATTCATGAAACGAGTCTTCTATTTATAGGAATGGAGCAAGTGTGTATATTTACATTTTTTACCTTGTAATACATAGATACCGAGGAGGTATATTAGTCAATACATGCGTTTACGTTGGGAGCACAAATTGTAGTTCTGTCGGATTCGACCAGATGGGGTCGGGAGCTCATGGTGGCTCCCGTTCGGCCTTTACCATCCAACTTTTATGGTTCAGACGTCTATACATTAAATTACAAAAACAATTGTCGGTTGACTCCAAGAGAGTAGTTGAGTCTAGTTCTTTTAAGGATTATTTTCCTTCCGGCTTGCAAGAGTCGCCTGACTAGATATGAGATTATGGATCATCTCTGGTGGGTCTCGGGGCACCACGTCGCCTCATCTGTCGGCCATTGGATCCCTTTAAGATTCTTACTGACACATTTTTTATGTATATGTTTAAGTTCTATGATTCTCTTATTCCTTATAAAGGCGGTTGCGATAATGAAAAGGGAATCTGATTTTCAAAACATTAATTGTATTTATGACTAGTAAATAAGCAATAATTGACTATTCCTGGATTTTCATACCAGACCCCCTATAAAAGTGACTTTTCTTTCACGTGGTTCCTTGGGCTAATCCTCATCTTCTCAGTTGCTCTGATTATGGAGGGTGTACAACTTCCCAAGTCAGTCAAGTTAAATGAGGAGGCTCGTGCTATAGTATTTCAGGTAATGAAGAAGCGGTCTAAATCGGCTTATAGGGGTGAACGACCCGACTAACGTGTAGTGGCCAAGGCAATGACTTTTGAACCAGTGGTCGAAGTGGGATAATTGAATTTGTTAATGATCGTCCTGTAGGGGGTTATTGGATGATAGAGGTAGGTTTTCCCATGAAGAAGCGTCATACAGTGGGTTAGATCCATCTAGATGATGGGCAAGCAGAATAGTCGACTCGCCCTTCAATTTTTCCCGAACTTGTGAAAGGATAGGATAGAGGGCCAGTTTTGATATTGATACCGCCAGAGGACTGACTACAAATGATCAAGGGGTTGTCTCCGATCATTCTCTGACAAATGCTTCCCAACATGTTTTTTAGCCCCCGCCGGCAAGGCAAGAGACTGGGAAGAAGCATGTTCCTTCACCACGTCAAACATAAACAGGATGGTGGGACCTTCTTTAGGCTATTGCAGAGTGTGATGCTGCTGAGGCTAGTTTTGTAGCGAACCCGGGGTCCACAAAAGGCTCCAGGCATTCTAAAGGACTGCTCGGGGATGAATCGATGTGTTTGACGGTTGACCCGATAGGAGTGGTTGGAGTGTTGGATCCGTCCATCTTGGCTAAGCTTCGTCCTCATGAGGTTGAGATCCCCTCAGCTCAAGGAACCGATCGCCTTCAGCTCCGTGATGTGCAGCCAGAAAAGTTTGAGGTTTTGATCTCCCAACTTTTTATTTTGTTTGTTGGATCGTGTCGAGATCAATGCAGACTTTCATGTCCATGATTATTATCAGTCTGAAATGACGTGGCCGAATGAGAGAGCTTGGCGGGTCGACTGAAGTGAGGTCGTCGACTATTGGATTGCCTCAACATCTATGCAAACCTTTTTTATTATAGATGTATAGAATTTTGTTATACTTCGTAGCTATAAATTCTAACTTCTTACTTACAATGGAATACCAAAAATAAATATATTAAATAAACTACTTCAAATCCATAATATGGTTTTGTTCGATCATCACAATGTCTAATTATCTTAGTTATGTTAGATTAAGTTTTGATTATGGATAAAAAAAATCATTTTAAAAATCTAAATAAGGTTAAAGCGCTTCAAATCTAAGGTCACATTCAAGTTCAATAAATTTTTTTTTAAAAAAAAGGAACTTTTTGGGGAAAAGAAATGAATTTAAGACATAATATCCTAGACAAAATTTAGTATAGAATACAAGAATACTTTCCTTAAAATCTAAGCTACTTCCTTCCATCAACTTGGCTAAGATACTTTATCATTCCTTTCAATGAAACACTCAAAACTTGCCAAAAAAATACTTTTATAACAAAATATATCATATTATAAAATACATAAAGCTACCTTTCCATACAAAACTAAATATTATTATTATTATTGTTATTATTATTTAAACTAACAGAGGAGCTTTGTGGCCATCATTTCCATTTTTCCTTTTTGGCTACATGGAGGACGGTGAGACATCTTTAAGAAGCTACGAACCACCGTTGCGGCTTCTCCGTTACCGTTGGGAGGGAGAGAAAAGGTGGTCACTGTCGGTGGCCGGTGAAGCAAGCGGCGGTTGCGGCCAAAGGCGCTGCCTTTTTTCCCGGCACTACCGCCATTGCTTCTCCATCTCAAACCTTTTCCTGCAATTCTTCTCGCCTTTTACACCGAAAGAGAGAGCTTAGAGATAGATATTTATAAACCAGATTACATCCTCTTATTTCTATTCTTCAAATTCATTTGCTACAATCGAAGTGAAAATGGAAGGAAGGCTTTAAATTAAGGTTAGATCATATATAAAAATCTCATCTTTATCTCTGTTTCTCTCTCATTGTGCATTTAACCTCTCTCTCTCTCTCTCTCTAACGCCCACACATAATATTATTGATACTTCTGTGTATCAGAGCATTTCAGATTTTGGATATATGGTATGATTCATTACGGCTAGCACTACAGATGGACTTCATTTTTGTGATTGTTTGAGATTTTTTATTGAAGAAACTCAAGACGTGGGATCGAACTTCTTCAGCGCTGTAGCAATAAAGGTATTCTTCCTCTAATTGCGCTTCTCTCTATTTCTCGAAAAAATTTTGCATGTAGCGCCGCGTATGTCAGGGAGGTTACTTAGAGGGTATTGGGAGATTATATCTGCGTTATACTCATGTAACCTCCCTGTAATCTACCTGTATCTTCTAGTAAATTTCGCGCTTCTGTTTTCATATATTTCTCACTCTAATCTAAATGCTAAAAAGGTAATGTTTTGGTCATCTAAAAATAAAAATTTAGGTGGATTTTCATAATGTGATGCTAATCTTTTTTAAGATAAAGCATTACTTTAATACTAAGCATATGCACATACAAAACATAAATATTCTCAAGTTTGTGAGTTTACTTCTTATTTAATAACACAACACAAACTATTAGCCAAGAAAATTGAGGTAAGATTTTAAGGGATTGTAACTAAAAAAATTCTAGATGTGCTTGCAATATGATTAACACGAAATCATATTGATATAAATAAATACTGATATATAGCAATGTAGGAAAAAATAATATAAACATGATGCATTATAATTATAGAAGCACATTAGACTATTTGATTAAATCATAGATATATTTTTTGAAAAGGATAAATGTTTATCTCATAGTTACTTTATGATGATTACAATATTTTAATAATTGACATAAGAATTAAGAGAATTCGTCGGCACTGTTTTCGCTCGGCCTTGAATTGACAATTAATAATTTTGAAATTGAGAAGCATGTCATTTGAGCCAGAACTTTTTGATAAAAGTAATAAATGATTAATTTTTAATATATATATATTTATGATTTTTAATGCTAGAATTATTTGTATATGTACATGTTTTGGCGCTGCCTTAATGGTTGTGTAACTGATAGTTTACTTATAACTTTTAAGATAATAATTAGGTTGATAAAAGCAAGACTACTTTTGACATCTCTCCATAGCAAGTTACCCTCGGTGCTTGTGCATTGATTCATAATTATTACAATCATTTCCGGGCTGCCCATTCGTTTATATATATATATATATATATATATATATATATATATATATCAAGAAAAATCCCTCGATTTGGAAATCGAAATCCAAAAACAGCAAAATAAAAGAAAGAAACCAACAAATCTTCCAGATCTAGATCTAGGGAGCTCAAAGCATGTGAAAAATAAAAAAAAGGAGAAAGAAACGGGAAAGATCTCACCCAATCCGAGGCCAAGAAACGAAGCCCTAGCAAGGATGCCCATTATCGTCGCAACTCCCAGACCTCCCCATTACATGTGTGTATTAATATATATATATATAATTTAATTTTCATTCATTTTATGTGAAAAATAAAATAATGTTTTAATTTTCACTGATTTGTAACTTTATGTAACAGGCATACGTGATTCATTTAGAACTAAATTATACAGTATGATAGATTGCAGTAATTGAACTTGTTGTTTTCATGCATGGTACTGTCTTCACTTCTCTGACTGTAAATCGAAGAAGCTTTTTATCCAGTGATTTTATGTTCATTTATTGATGGTTGTGCAATCTTAATTAATCATTAATTTGGCTTTTTAAGATAATAATTATGCTGGTATTTACAATAATGATTTTAATAATTATGCTGATCTAACAACTATCCCTCAGTGTTTCTTATTTGATTCATGATTTGTAGTTTCATTATGTTTAAATAAATAAATGAAAGGCACAAACACACACACACACACACATCACAAATGTTGATTTGAGTTTCATTATGTTAATGTGTATATAAAATTCTTATATTTATAGATTTTTAAAGGTATCAGAAGAGTTTGAAATTGTTTCTGATCTCAAATAATAAGAAGGACACAATATTGACTATTTCTAACATAATATGGAAGCCAAGAGAACATCATTATTGGTCCCATTTGGTAGTGCTGATTTTGTAGAGATGTATGAGAACATGCAAAAGTTAAAGTAAGCTACAATCTACAAGTAAAGGTTATTAGGAGTGGCCGGTCAAAATTTTTCTATGCGCTAGGCGTATATCTTGATAATGAATAGTGAGAAAATGTATACAATTCATGTGTAAAACAATATGAGTTATGTTCTATAAAATTAGAGCTAGATTATGAATTACTATGTTATACATGTGCGCAAAAAGACATTACGTACGTGGTCATGTCAATGCATGATAGGCAAGTCGAGCTCAGGTTTAGCATGACTTAAACTCGGCTCAACTCATTTGCACCCTAATCATTTATCTTTTATTTACCATGATGTTTTTAATAAGTATTTATCAAAGATTTAGTTTTAATAAAAAGAAGTTAGAATAAAGTTTGTTGGTGTACAAGTCTATATCAAAAAATGAGTTGATCTCGTAACAAAAAAAAAAATTGATACAAAAAATTCACTTGATATTTCTCAATTCTATATGTCAAATAACAAATTCAATCTTCAATTGATGTTTTTTTTCATAAATATTTGAAAAAAGAGGCATTACAAGAGATAGGGAGGATTATAGGAAGTCATCGGTGATAGGAGTGATTAGGGGGGTAGGGGGGCGTCGTATATGATAGAGATGAATATCAATGTGCAATGGGAGTGTTTAAGATCGAAAGACATTAGATGTATGTATATGTGTATATTACTTTCCATTAAATAGTGGCTTATTATCAAAGAAAAAGCATACATAAAGACAATAGCAAAATAATGCTACTATTTAGTTGGTTATGCTTATAGTGCATTGCATTTAAAATGGATAGAGTTTATAATTCAAAGCGTTTGATGGAGCAAAATACAAAATATTTCAGTTTCATGATTCAATAAAACTTTAATCCCTTAATTTGTTTGTAATTCTAGTCGTCCTCTCCGCACATCTAATTTTTAATTGCATGCGTTGTCTCTGACATGCGCCAGCAAAATTATATCATAAATTGCAGAGTTTTTTAACTACTAACAAGCATCTTAGGTTCATTTTCATCATGAACCAGTTCTAATTTCTTATGTACTATAAATGTATCCTTCATGCATCACTACCCATGTCTGGAAAAATCTTGCATGTGGAAAGATAGAAAGATGATGAAATCTCATAATGCCTTGGAAATGTTTTCTCGAAGGAAAAAAACCAACTTATATTTCTTTTATATGATGACAATTATATCCAGTTGTAGTATTTGGTGGCTATAAGTTTCTGGCAAAATTAGAACATACCTGGCTGATTTGGTGGCAATGTTCTTAAGGATTGATGCATGCTTAAGATATGTTCCTTCCATATATTGCGTTTATTTTGTTTTTTTCAGTTACAGAAATAATAATATGATTAATTCAAAATCTCATACATCTGAACAACTCCACCAAAATTACAGAACTTTTTATATATCATTTGCTTTCATTCTATAATAAATTTGAACCACCTTACAATCCAAAATTTCAATTTCATTATTTCTTTTGTTGCGATTCACTAGCAATTGAATTTTAATATAAAGCTGTTCGTCGTGTTCGACATGTCTCCCTTTGAATGAATCAGTTTTCATGACGCTCGCATACAGCGCAAGACTTGTGGAGAAGTTGGTGGAGAGTTTTGTCTCTGTTTAGAAGACTCAAGTTCAAAGCACACTCTAACTACTAATCATTAATTTCTAACATAGTTGACATTAAAACTCAACTTACCGAAAAATAAAAATAATAAATAAAAAAATGACGTTCACATAATTTAATATATGGTGTGAATTTTATATAACCACAAGTCTCTGCATTAAAATATATATTAGAATTAATCACGATAATTTTTATGTACTTTTGTATGCTTTTCTTACTTTCCTTTTATTTTAAAAATGTATATTTTTTTATATATGAATGAATGCTAGAAAACTTGACTTTCATTTATCAAACACATTCTAGCATGTTTAATATATTGTTTACAAGGCATAATATCTTCAATATATATTATTCACATTTCAAAAAATGAAATCCTTTTATTACATGTCTGATATTGTAATGTTTCATGCATGTTGCAGAGAACAATTTTAAAAATGACTTCTTTTTCGCTTGTTCCACCGGGATTTAGATTTCATCCCACCGATGAAGAACTTGTAGATTACTATCTTAGAAAGAAAGTTGCATCAAGAAGGATTGATGTGGATGTCATAAAAGATGTTGATCTCTATAAAATTGAACCATGGGATCTTCAAGGTAACATCATATATGATCAACTATGTTCTTATTTCTTCATTTGAGATAGATATAAATAAAACTCCCATCAACTTTATTTATTTTTTTATGAAAACTTAATTTCTTAAGAATAAGGACAATAATTTATAAATAACGACAATTAAGGATCTGTTTGGGACAGCTGCAGCTTATTGAATAATTTGCTGATAAGCTGATCAAAAATAACTTGTTGCTAAGCTAAGTGCGGTGGCTATTACAATTTTTTTTTTTTTCTGGAAAAGTCAGAGGGCAACTAGAAAGTTGCCACCACAACTAGATAGGTGCGGTGTGAAAATGCAGTTTTCAGTGTTTTGAAAATGCATAAACTATCAGATCAGGCGTGTTTTAAAAACGCCACTGCACCAAATAAGTTGCCCTAAACAGACCCTAAATTTGTTCTCATGTTAGATAGATTTTCTTGACACCTAAGAATGCTACTCTTATTTTCTTTTTTTCTTTTTAAAATAAAATATTTCCATTATAATGAAAATTACATAAAGCAAATGATGGTGGCTTTGATAACAATAGTGATGGTGCTTCTCATAGGGCATTTATAATTGAAAATAAATATTTTAAATTGTTTAAGAAAATAGAAAAATCAGAAATTATATATGAAGTTAATATCAATGAACTACAAATAAGATGAGCTAGTGCTTAGATAATGAAGATTTCTTATCCTAGTTAATAAAGCAGAAGCTACAAAGACAATCCTGATATGAGTATGCCATGTACAAAATGTCATAACTCAAAAATACTTGACAGATATTTGATAAGGTGTGTTATATTAGATTTTATTATTATTAAAAATGTGTATGATCCGATGCTAAGAACTCAAACTAAATTATTGCAGTAATACTAGAGTTTTGCATGTCAAGGATTCCGGAAACTATAGTATTATAGGGCCAAATTAGTTGCAATTGTTTGCAATATGTGGGCACGATTCAATTTAGTTCCAAATCATGGATTGGAATCGAATTGAATCGAACCCAATCATTTGGTTTTAAATTGTTTAATATGTTCAATTTGAATCTTTTTGAGCAGTAATAACAGTTGAAAAGTTATTTATAAACTCTATATTTGTGATTAAATAGATGGCTTAAGATAATCATGCTTTAGTATAATCTGGTTCGTCATTTTTTTTTTTTCATTTAAAAGAACTTCAAATCTAAATTAAACTAAGTCAATCGGTTTTCTTAGGTTAAACGGCTACCAAGAGATTGTAAAAAAGATATTATTACCCTTACATATCAATAAGAGTGTAAACGAGCCGAACACGAGTGAGCCCAGGCTTAGCTAGTGCTCGACTCGTTTATATTTCGAGCTCAAAAAGTGTGTTCGTGTTCGGCTCATTTGCTTAGGCAGCCGAAGACGAGCCGTTCACGAACAAAGAGTTGTTTTGACAAACCTAATCACATAGCCATAAGATGTGAAGGATTGAGGCAAGATTTAAAATTTTTTGTTTATATTAAAACATTATTTGAATGTAATTTAATAATAAAATGAATTAATTTTTTTTAAAATACTATTCATCAATTATATATATATATATACTTGATGAATAGTATTTCGAGCCAAAACAAGCCGAACACGAAAGAACAAATCTTTGTTCGTTTTCGGCTCTTTGTTCGTTTTCGGCTCGTTAACTTATAAAACAAAATTACCGAGCCGAACACGAGCTTCTTAACGAGTCGAACACGAGCTGTTTGCGAACACAAAGCTTATGGTAATTTTGCATATGGAGTTCTATACATGATCATTTATTTTATTCAAACCTCTTGGATTGATATACAAAGGCTGCATAAATAGCCATGCATATTGACAAATTTATATTGCCATTTTTTTTCTTTGGGCAGAGAAATGTGATATAGGTGTGGAAGAGCAGAATGAGTGGTATTTTTTCAGTCACAAAGATAAGAAGTATCCAACTGGAACTCGCACTAATCGAGCCACTACAGCTGGGTTTTGGAAGGCAACTGGAAGAGATAAACCAATCTACTCAAAAGATAATCTTGTTGGAATGCGAAAGACCTTGGTCTTTTATAAAGGCAGAGCACCAAATGGGCAGAAGTTGGACTGGATCATGCACGAATATCGACTGGAAACAGATGAAAATGGCCCTCCCCAAGTAAGTACTTTGTTTGAAACATTCAAACTCATCTATTATCATATTTCTCCAAAACATTTAAATGTAACATTAATATGACATAAGATAATACTTTCCATGAACATTATAAAAGCATTGACCAAAACTTAATTTTGAATTGTATTTTTTAAAAAAGTGTCATTATAATTCAATCTTATGATAGAAAGATTAGAAAATATGTTTATTATATTCAAATTTGAATTACATGAATGGTAACCATTGATGCATGTTATAAGGTATATTGCCTATTATTTCCACTGATTCATTTCTCAGGAAGAAGGATGGGTAGTCTGCAGAGTGTTCAGAAAAAGAATTGCTTCAACACAAACCCTGATAAACCATGACTCCCCTTCCTGCCATTGGTACGATGAAAGTGTACCATTTATACCACAATTTGATTCACCAAAGAAATTAACATATCCAAACACTGAAACATATCATCACCCCTCTCTCTGTTACAACTGCAAACCAGAACTTGAAGTGATAAATCACAACCACCTTCTTCAGAATCATTCTTTCCTTGATCTCCCTCACCTTGAAAGTCCCAAGTTTCCTCACTTCATCAACCATGAGACTTTGCAGAACAATCATCAGCTGCAGATTGTCACAGATTGGAGAATTTTTGACAAGTTTGTGGCGTCGCAACTGAGCCAGGATGATGTCTCCAAAGAATCAGATGTATGTAATTTAGAAAAAGCAAATGATGTTGCAGGTAAGGAGATTGTCGCTGCAGAATGTGCATCTACATCGACATCTGGCGAGCAAATTGATTTGTGGAAGTGACTCTCATATTATAAGTAGAGTTTGGTCTATATATGCATTGGTCATAGATTTATTATAGCATGTTGGTGATTGTACATAATAAGTGAATAGCATTGAGTGTGGGCACTTTGTAATATGAAAGAATATATAGTTATCTTTTGAGAATGATAAGAGCTCTTATATTCAACATTTTTATTCCTGGCATCAATACATATTTTTTAAATTAATGCTAAGATTTAAAACAAGTCATCATTTTTTTTTCATTTTAATCGTTATGTTATTGGTTTAAATTTTCTTTAAATCTTTATCCTTTGAATGTCAATGTATAAGTTAAGATACATAAGAATAAGAGCTCTTATTTTTCTAAAGTTATATATATATATATATATATATATATATATATATATATATATAATATATAAGCAGGTGATGTGTGTGTGAGAAATATATATATATATATATATATATATATAGGACTTCTAAGGAGGCATGTGATGTGTGTAGTAGAGGATTGAATGTAACTTGATTAATACACTCCATATATGTGCATGAAATGAATCAATTGAATCAAATTGATTTATATATCTCAAATATTTCTCATTCAAGTAATGTGGCTTCAAAAAAATTATTTTTATTTTTGATGGGAAATATTCCCATAAAAGTAAACTCGTATGGTTAATTATAATGCCAAATAACTTTGAGAACACTCTTAATTATGGAATCAATGCTTATGTTGTCTGAATAACATTGATAAATTTCTAATCAACTAAAAATTAGAATGGACCTAAAGGACTTCATAGAGGATGAAAGGGGTATATTTTAAGAAGAGGGTACATTAAATGACATCAAAACAAATTTGAAAGAGATTTCTGTGACAGCACTTGCCTAGAAAATAAAAGACATAATTATATGTAAAAAAATGGAGAACTAATCTTCCAAAGGTTGTGATGGTCTTTCTCAAAATCCCCGTATTAAAAATCATTCTACAATACTATTGCCATAAGTGGTGAGGGGTGTTAACCTTACTTTTGGTCGACCAATATTATCTAACCTTTAGTCCCTTTCCTAGGCTTAAGAGTACTTCCTAGTGCCCCATACATGATTATTGTTTCTGATCTAACTAGCTCAGTCCTTTTCCTTCAAGCCCAAGAAAGCTCTAACCCAACAGAGCCCTATTTAGACCCCATCTCTCTCGATGTAGTTAGGAGTCTAGTGAAAAGTTCACTTTGGAAGTTTGAGATCTCAAACTCAAGTAGGGCTTTGGCTTGGCTTAGTTCATGGTTGGCTTGATAAGGTTTTATTGGCTCCCATTCAAAACTAAATTAAAACTAAAATTAATTTAAGCTAATACCTAATTTAATCAAACCTAAGCTTAAAATAAACCTAGAACTTGTTTAAATAAATTTTAAGAAGTCAAAACTATGCTCAAGTAAATTCAATATAAATAAATCCAAGCCTAACTTAATCCACATATAACTTAAAACTAAATTCAACTTAACACTAATCTATTTTAATGCAAAACTAATTACAATTACACTAAGTTACACCTTTGTTGAATTGAATCTAAGTATAATTAAACCAACTTCAATCTAAACTAAAGTCAAGTCAAATTTAAACCTCAACTAAAAATAAGCTAACTTGGAAGTTAAGTCTAAAACTAAATCACATTTAGAACAAAACCAATGTAAGAGAATTTTAAAACTAAATTAATGATAAATCTAATATAGCTCAACTTAAGACTAAATTTTAAATTGAAGCTAAAACAAAACTAAAACTCAATTTAATCTAAACTTAAATCCAAATCTTATAAATAAATCAGTTATAAACTTAAAGTTAAAGTAATGTTGAACATAAACCTAACTTAAACTAAATTTATCTTAATCTAAATTGGACCTATATGAATGATCCTATATTTATATAAACTAGTTTTAATCTAGGGACAAAAATCAAACTAAAACTATGCCTTAACTTAATCAAATCTTAACATAAACATTAACTAAAGTTATAATCAAGCCACTCACTCCTAAAGTTAAGACAAATCTATCCTAGTCTAAGTCGATCCCAAGAGCATCCATTTGAGCTACATTGAGTTTAAAGAATACACAATCCTAATTGACCGACCCAAGGCATAGTTGCTTCCACTTGGTCCAACCTTTAAGCTAATTATGTTGCACCTACATCAGTCAAAATGACTAACTTGAGAGCACTGATTGACTCAATGGTAGATTCAGGCATCCACTTTCCAAGAATTTGGATTCAAGTCAGTATCAATGGGTTGGGGCTTCACACTGATTGAGCCACCTCATTTGGTCGACTCAACCAAGCCCTACTTAACTAACTGTGCTAATTGACCTCGTCTATGTCAGCGGTCTCAGACTATTCTGCAAAGCCTAGCCCATTGCTCAAATTTGTAATACTAGGACCTCCTTAAGTTCTCCATGTTATATATGTGCTAGATTTAAAGTTGGGTTTTCTCCATGTAGAGCCGAAAGCTCATGGCTTAGCTAAAAAGAACTCATGTCAAAGTTCTTCGATCTTGGCATTCTTTTGAGCCTTAGCCACTGAAGGGTGGTTGTCATATTGATCTAATCGGTCACCCAACATTGCTCTCTAGAGAGTAGGATAGTCTTCCCTAGCTCTATCATTATTATCATGGTTATAAAAGCTCAATTTTGAATGGACTCATTTGTAATTCAAAAGGATCAATTGATAATTCATTGATTCCTTAGCTTGAAATAAACTTCTCAAAGCCTTCTCTCCCATTATAACAATGCTCTGTGTACTCTAGACACCAACTCCAACAATGACCACCCATGGAATTGGTCTTCACACCAACTCAAGCATCATAAGTTGTTGATGTCTAAAGATAAAGTGTTCTTGGGAGTGTCATGAAGCTCCATGCCACTGGAATTAGATTGGCTCACTCTGCTTCTAGATATTATTCTCAAATCCTTCTCTATTCATTTTGATTTAGAACATAGAGAAACATATTAGGATTAATGACAAAAACATTTAAAGTAGAACCATAGCTAGGGTCTCTTGATCCTTTTGGACAAGGAAGACTCGAGCCTGCCACTCTAAATTGTGTGAACTAGAAAGGAGATAGCGGCAATCCACATCTTCTAGCTAGAGGTAGGAGACAAAATTAGGATACTCCATTCACACTTTTTGATCGGGCAGTATTAGATAAAGGCACCCTTATAAAACCCTTGGCTAAACTGCACTATCTAATCATGTGCGAGTGCATGAAATGTGCAGTCGTATCAGCTATTGATGTGACGTTGATTAGGAAACTACATAAATAATTTAATAGACTCTTATTAATTAAATAAAAATTTGAAAATTCATAAAAACTAAATAAAAATTTAAAATTTACATAAAAGTCAAATATGAGCATTCCAAAGTAAATTGACCATACTCGAACTAAGCAACTATATGAAAAAAACTGTATAATGGCCTTCATATTTTACAAGAGCAAAACTAAATTTATTTTTATTAAAGGTTTAAAGAGACTACCCACAGTGATGTATCTGTATGTCCAATTATACTCTGGAGGATACCTATAATGACTCTTGATATAGCATTTATAAATAATAAAAATAGAAATATAAAAGAGAATTTTGTTATCTTAAGGAAGCCTCTTACTTTCAAGACTAAACTAGGTTATTGGGTAGAGGTGAATCATTGTAACACAACATGCAGTTGCGACTTAACAAAAGAGGGCTTATAAAAAGAGCACAAAATATACCATAGAAATAATACTAAAACCCCAAAAGGGTATGTCAACAACCAAATAATAGAATTCCTAGACATTGTTAACCTCATTTTTGGTGAGGTCTAGTTTTCTCCTTAGGACTTAGGGTCTAGCCTCAGAACTTTTCTATTGACTATCGTATGAGCCTAGTGATGGGAACCACTGAAATTGAAAAACTCAAACCACTTTCCTGATCTTCTTTGAGTCTCACATGTATTGTTTTTGACCCCTAGCACTTAGAAGGTTGAGACGAATAAGAGGAAACTCAGAAAGAGTACCTATAGGATTGTCAGGCCTTAGGGCAATCCTGGATGGCTTGGTCTTGCACACACACTTGGACTCACCATAATTCTCACACACATCCAAAGCCATTCATTCACCCAAATTGACCTATCTTTCACTTCAAGCTCATAGCTACTCTTTAACTCTCTTAAAAACTCATGTGGGTGGTCCCAAGCCCTTAGCCTTTAGTTAGAATAGCTAGGACCAACATGTGAAGGCCTCAAGATGAGTTCTCATAAGGCTCATGTGACTTCAGGGAGGCTTTTCATGGCTTGCATAACCACATCATCCCATCTACTTAAAATTCCCCAAATCCACTAAAATTGGCCAAATTACCAAAATACCCCCAACTTCTAAAAAACATAAAAAATTGTTAAAATCTCCAATTTGCTAAAAAATCTACCAAAACCAATCCTAGCCATCCAATTTGTCCAAATTCCCCCAAATTTACCAAAATGACCAAATTGCCCTTTGACCCCTAAATTTTTCAAAAAATTCTCAAAACATCCAATTTTCACCAAAATCACCTTTAAGCCCTTCCAAGTTACCGAAGTGCTTCAACTTCACCAAAATTGACCAAAATTCCCAAAATACCCAAAAAATTCCCAAAATTACCCAAAATCCCCAAATTACCCCAACTTTTATCAAATCCACTCAATTTTAAATTCAAGACCAATTCCACCAAATTCCAAACCTAAATTCAAACTCAAGCCAAACCACCCAAATTGACCATAAATCCAATTTTCACCAAAATTGAACCCAGAAGCCAAAGTCAAACTTCACTAAATTCAAGTCTAAATTTCATTATGACAAATTCTAAATTTCATCAAGGCCAAAGTTAACCCTCTCATCCTTAATTTTAAAAGCCCACATAATTAATTCCAAAATTCCACCCTACTTAATTTTAAAAGCCCAAAACTTTGATTCATGTTAAAAGCCCAAAACTTCCAAGTTACCCAAGTGCCTCAACTTCACCAAAATTGACCAAAATTCCCAAAAATTCCCAAAAATACCTAAATTACCCAAAATCCCTAAATTACCCCAACTTTTATCAAATCCATTCCATTTTAAATTCAAGACCAAT